TTATATAAGCAGCGTGTGTTTACATAATGAAATTGCCTATCACATTCTTGTTGACTTTGTCATTTCATGGGGAGGACGGTGTTCTAACCAGGTCAGATTCTGTTTTAGTCCATCATTCCTATTCATTCATTGCAAAATACAAAAAGTCTTTATTATAATGAATATCAGATACCCAATGCCCAAACCTTTTTCAAACTGTTAAAAGTGCACTTGGTTTGGACATATGTAAACCATATAAAAGCCTGGAATAACGAATAAACTGAACTCTTACCCCTCTTATCCAATTCCACTATATATAATTAGTTGTTTTTTGACACCGAATAATCTGTCTACCTACATCAATTTCTGGAATTATGTTCCTTATGCCTTCTATCTATAACTCAAAGTATTTATGAAAAAGTATGTTCCACAACTTTCTTGAAACCTATAATTTGATTTTGTTTAGGATGTATGCAGTTGATGAGAATCCACGAAATAAAACGAGCTCGTATTATCCTGCAAATATGTTCGTTCTTTCTCTCTTCAAACTAATAAAGGGAACCGGTTGCATGAAATAACGAATAAACGGTGAGTTAGTAGCATATTAAGCTTATGATCTCAATATAGCAAATGGTTGAAGTATTTTATTTAGGTTCGAAGTATGAAAAGATAGATTTTACAAAATCTGCAACACGATCATAAAATACGATATATCAAAACAGCAATCATATAAGTAGGGTGAACTGACCGCAAATTCTTCTGCCAACATTTCGTCAATATTCACTTCATCCTCCAACTCTTCATCTTCTTCAGTGTCACCGTCTTCAGTGCTTTCTTTCATCTATAAACCGGATTAAAGGTGAACGAAAATGATTTGGATGATCATCAGTCAAATGGTCTGTGATAATTTATAAACCACTAATTAAAAACCAGCACTGTGTAAGTGTTCTAATGAACTACTACTGACGGTTAGCAGATGGACTGAGGACGCATATCCTATCGGATTTAGGACCCGCCAACTGTATTCCAGCGATTGACATTGTTCCCACTGAGACTTAAAATCAATACCAATAGTCTTACACGTTCAGCATTATCCAGTAAGCTAATAAGCCATGGCAGTACCCCTCCTGTTTATTCGGTATCAGTTATCGTCTGATGAGGCGTTTGAATTCGCTTTCGATGGTTTTTATTGAAGTGACATACTCCGTGTCATCATGTTTTCCTATCATATCATCAGTTGTCTGTAGCAGGAGAAACGATTCACTAGTAACTTATTCACCTTGGAACTTTAGATCCAATCCACTTCGCAAAAGTAGATTTGTTAAAGCCGAAAGTGTCAGACTAACACTAAATACCCATTCAGTTTGCTTCATTTTTATTGATTTTTCACTTTTGTGACGAAATCTATTCTAAGATTAGTTGAATTACTGTAAAACAGCCTCCTCAACGCTAAATACGCTCCGCTAGTACACTGATATAGCCAACCAGCCTATGAATAATTTACGACATAAATAAATAAAATAACCTGTCAAAATTATTTTTTCTTTATTTGGTGTGAAATATCCCTCATATTTAATCAGTAGTGAACACACGGTGGCATGCCTAAATCACTGAACTGCCTGAATTTCCATACAATATACTACTGTGCACCTATCAGTATCATTAGAAGAAATCTAAGCGAAAGTTGTCTCCTTCACTTCTGTCGCCAGCCACATTTTAACAAAATGTGACACAGATGAGATTGTCTAGGGAAGCCAGGCAGGATCGAATCCAGAAAGGAAGATAAGCATTCACCACTTTAGAATCAGTGTGGAGTTCTAAAACACTTAGGATAAGGAACAAGACCTGTGTTTTCAACACTAATGTCAAGTCATTATTTCTATATGCTCCACAGACTTGTCATGTTCACGTTATCATAAGCATTTCCAACAGCCTACTCTAGATTTTCATAATCACATTTGTTGTCTCAATACTGAAGATCAGATGACCAACTGGTTGGGAAAGATATGTAAGCAACAAGGGAGTGTGACAGCTAATCAGCTGTTACAAACTGTTATAGGTGGCGTCACACTTCAGGCTTCTGAGTGGAACTTCTCAACTGAGAAACGACGAGCTGGCCGTATGTCCAAGGGTGATATGAACAAGGTTTTGTGAAGAGAAAATAAAAGTTTATTGACAGTCATGTAGCTGACTTTTAAAAAAAGATGTCAGATATCAGCGCAGATTGGATAATTGGTGCTACTGAAGCTCTGTGGTCCACTAGGAATGCATGGAATAAATGATTATGATAAATAATAAATGTTCCGAATGATTTCACTTTTTAAAGGAAAGTGTATTGAACGATGTAAATTGCAAATCGTAAATTAACCGACGAATTGTGAATTTATCATGTCCATTATCTAATAAAGAAGTATTTTTTCCTCTCTTTAAGCAAAGCATATAAGACTACAACTATGCCGGTCGTTAAAACTCGAATGAAAAAGTTTTAGTTTCAGGGGGTGATCAATTCACACTTTAGCATCTCAATACTTAATACGATACGATATACCATCTTTATAAATTTTTAATTGATGTTTTGAGAAGAAGATGTCGGAAGAGTGATTACTTTGGTTGCGCCCGTATACATTAGACTATGTCCCACAGTGAATGTAACCGAGGTGACACTTTCCGTTAAAGTTATGACTTGATTTTTTATGAAGACCACATGAATAGATTAGTGGATTTTGTGTTTTGGTCACCGAAATGTATCTTACCCTTGCATTTTCTCTTTTCTCTTGTAACTCCTTCAGAATTTCCGTTCGTCTTTTTTCCATAGCTAATTTCTAGGAGGAAAAAAGAAGAAGGTTATCTTTTTTACTGAAAGCTGAATTATTTACTTAAATATATGTGTAAGAAATATTAGAAGGCAGCTAAAAATGAGATGAATAGTTCCTTTAAGTTATCAGTGGGACCATCAGACTCACATGAATCTTTCGGTGAAACAGTTATGCATACTTCAGTAGTGGTGGTTTTATCTAATTGGAATTATGATGTATTAAATAGGCGAAGATCACGTTCTTTGTTCTTTGATATTTACAGTAAGAACAGTAAACATTATTTGGAGGGATTAAATTCATTTCAAGTATTGGTTTGTAGGGATTTGGTTGAATGGTTACAGGATTTCATTGTGAGCTGACATTGGTTAGAGAACCATGATGATGAACCATGATGAAATCCTGTAACCAGTCAAACAAATCCCTACAAACCAATACTTGAATATAAATGAGATGCTCACTGGAGACTGGCCTTATTCAGGTAGGTAGGTCGGATCAGGTCCCAATGGCTTGATGGTATGCGAGCTCGCCTTGTAACAAGAAGGTCCTGGGTTCGAACCCCGGTGGGTGCGTACTGCTGAAGAGTCCCAAACTAGGACGAAACAGTCCTCCAGTACTCCCAGGTTTTCCAATGGTTCTCTAACCAATGTCAGCTCATGATGAAATCCTGTAATAAATTCATTTCATATTGCTTTGCTTTAAATCTTTATTTGATAAAAGTTATATACTTCTCAACGAACGAGTAACATTCATTGTTTAACCTATCATTCAATTCGCCTTTACATCGGTGGTCAGAAAACTGATCAGCAAATAATAGGATTTCTTGAATAATGCACACGATGTTAACCAGCAGTAACAGATTTTTATCGATTATATTCATATTACCTCAAGATAGACAAATTCTCTTCGGTCTCTAGTTCACGTAGACTTCACCTAATCTACTACTATTGGTCAGCCATATTTCATTCTAGTACATGTGTTGGTGATGCGATTGAATGCTGTGCATGTGATCGAAATAGTGGCCTCGAAATTCTGTAGATTTTTCTCTTTTTTTGTGTAGATAGTGGTTTACAATTTACATTCGATAAAATCTCATATTACTACTGGTGTATGCATGCGTATTGATTATTTCGCTGTTGTTATGATTGGTAGACTTTAACAACAACTTAATTGCAATGGCAACCGCCTGAATTCGTCTTCTCATAGATTTAATAACAGATCACCTTTTAAACTTCCGCCCATCTGCATATAGAAGCAAGGAGTATTATTCAACAGCGAATGAAATCATGCTTAAAAGCCGAAGTAAGAAGAAAAACTCAGCTGTGCAATACTGTATTATCAGATACCTCGTGAACAATGTGTGATAAGTCATATGAAAGGGTAGGCAATAGGTGTGCTATGATACCATTCGAGTGTCAATGGATATTATTCCCAGTCAAAAAAGCAATTGATTGAAATAAACTGATTGAAAAGTCTACATTAAATGCCTTATAATTAGTTCTATAACAGATGTTTTCAAATGTTAGCAAACAGGTATTTCATTGGTTACAGGTTTGGTCACGTGCTGATATCAGTTAGAGAACTATTCGGGGTATTGAACACCTGTTTCGTCCTATTTTGGTACCCTTCTACAGTACCTGCCAACCGGAGTTCGAACATGGAACCTCCCTGTTACAAGACAAGCTTGTAGTCCATTCATTTGCTGGCACCCAATACAGTGGCCCATAAATTCCAACTTATGACATATGGCTTGTGATGAAACCTGTAGTCAACCAAATACCTGCGAACCAACACTTGATAATCAGTAGGATGCCCGCTAGTGACTAGCCATTTACAGGAAGTTACCCGGATGTCTAGTGAGAAGTCATAACCGGTGGGATCCACCAAGTCCCAAAATAGGACGAAACAGCTGCCCAGTACTCACTCGTTTTCCAGTGGTTCTCTAACTGATGTGAGCTCGTGGTCAACCCTATTTTTTACTGTTACTCTCCGAAATATATGACAAATGCGCACATATAGTCGGCCTTCATTTAAGTCTTTCTTTCAGTTTATAATACCATTCAGCAACATGTTTTAGTCCCATGCTACTTGGAAGTATGTTTGTGTTAGTGATTAAACTTCCATAGAAAAAAAGAGAATCTGTGCTGTTGTACTAGTCTGTGTTAATTAGTGTAAAACAGAAAATATGCCATCTCTAATATTACAAACCTTTTTTGCAGCTTTCCATTCTTTTAATTTACTCGCATTCTCAGCCTTTTTCGCCATTCGTTTACGCCAGGCTTCTAGTCTAGGCGGCAATAGTCTAGAGACAACTTCGTCAACTTCAGTATTTAAAAATAAAGCACAGTCAAAGAAATAATTTGATGTAATTAAAAATTGTAAGTCTTCAGTAGTCTGTGGAAAGCCATCCAGTATAAAGCCTATAGATTTATAAGGTTCTTGTTTCCAAAGTTTGCCCAGTAACCATTCCAAAGTTTCATTCGGTATTTGTGTTGAATTTAACAGGTATTCTGAAATATTTGTTTCATGTTCATCTAGTACAGGTGGTTGTTCTGATTCATTTTCTTTGGATGCATTGTCTGCTTTTGTATTGAATCGATCTGTTTCTTGACTTTGTAACTTAACCTGGCCTTCTTCAACCTCATCAGTTGGTTCTTCGAGACTATCAGAGGAAAAAACGAAAGTAGTACAATTTTCAAAAGGGTTGGTGATAAGGAACATGTTATAATGCTTGAATTTACTACCAGTGAACCTGATATTTATTGCTTTCACTAACTGACAGCTTTCACAATCCAGTTTCAACTGATGCATGTCGTATAAGAAAAACTGCTTCATCAACTTTACCATGAAGATTCAAGTAAAACACGAGTAGTTGTATATCAATACAACAAAGTTTCTGTCTGATCTGTATGATACTGAAGTGTATCCATAATGCCCGTTTTCTCTACATGTACGTTAATTTGAATGAATATGATGTTGTTGTGAAATAAACTTTTCCATGTATTCAATTCACTTGTAAACAGCCAATTTGTTATAGCTCATTTGCGCCAAATGTGCGTCGGTGGCACAGCGGTTAGGACGCCCGCCGACCATACACATGGTCCGGGGTTCGATCCCCGGCCGACACATTCCTTTACCTCACTAAGCCAGTAATAAAGCTGGCAGAAAGGAAAGGTTGGGCATGAGGCAACCCCATCCTGTAAAATTAAACACTGCTACAGAAACTTCAAGCCCTAGCTTGAAGCCCTGTGTTCCATTAGGAACGTGAAGGAATAAAAAAAAATTGGGCCAAATAGGTTACAAGCATTATTCGCATTACTGTGTTAGAACTGCTGATACTAAACAGCTTCTGAGGCAGAAGTGGAAGGTACATGATTCGAATTCAGCACCCTCTAGTTGAAAGTATCCTACCTAAACCAACGCCCCAAATCTCCTTACAACTATAATACAGCAAAGTAAATAGAAAGTAAGGCACAAATAAGTGTTCACAACCTATTGATAAATAACTTGGGAAATAATTGGGGAATTTTAATAAAATGGATGAACATATTTTGTAAATTATAACTAAAAACAGATAAATTAACTTTATATTCATAGATTAGTGTTTTTCTAATTGGATTACGATCGCAATTAGGAAGCAAATCTGTTAATGGAAGTGGTTGGCTAGCAATATACCAAATGGGCCATTTAAAACGATGGTAACACATGTCATATATATTTTTTGGGCAAACAAACTATCAAGGTACACCAGAGTTCACCCTGAAGAACCAATCAGATTCATATAAGAAGCTTTGGAAGGTCGTTAAAAATAGAAATCACACTTACCTTTATGGAGTGGGTTAATGAGTATCATGAAGATCCAGCATTTAACTACTGTGTCAAAAACGGATTAATTGCAGTAACAAGGACTTGTGTGTGTTGCGGGAGGCTATAACAGTAAGGTACTTCAGCCTTATGGCAGATAAATACTAGTAGAAATGTAATTCATGTTATAAGAGAAAATCGGTCCACGAGGGTAGCTGCATTACTAAGGTAACATGATTTACATTCACCTTGATGAATACTTGTATCGGATGTGGTGCGATTTCTCTGCGGATTATCAATGGAGAAACTGTAAGACATTTCTACAACACATTAGAGACCATTATCCAGTTTACTTTCATGTTTGCAACGTTTTTAATTTATTTTTTAAATACCATTATGAAACCTTTTTGCACCTGAATTCTGATAAGTTATTCAACGTCGCCATGATTTCGGCTGTGACGGTTTAACCTCTCCCTTTCACGTCTAAACGTTTCAGCAAAGTCTTGAATGAGTAGATCTCAAATAATAATCAACAGATTATCATGGTGAATAACTGGATGTCAGTGGATTAAATCCCCTAGTACTTGAGGTTCTCATTTGTGATTTATTCTTCAGTCTACTATACTGTCGATAAATGTTTCACAATGTTCTACAAATTACCATTGTTTTCAAATGTGTTGTTTACAGTTTTTGTTTTCTCATTTTACTACACAAGAATTCACTTAGTCTTACAGGATATATATGACATAGAAATACAAAAGCCAAGGTAAAATAAGTTTGACTATTATGTTCACTTACGGTGGCAGTACAATGTCAGGTACCGGCTCAAAATCCACGTATTCTTTACCAATTTTTCGACCAAATTTAGGAAATATAATTTCTTGTAGTAAACTTGAAAAGTCAATATGAACAAGATTTAAGTTCAAGGCGATTTGACGACTGTGTAATGATTTGCCAGTACCAGTCGGTCCAATTACTAGGATTCTTGGCGGCGGAAGCTAAATTTTTGTTGTTTTTTTATTAAGAAACGTGACTGTATTATTATGTTGATCTTTATGACGCATATACAAATACAAATTGAATATATATATATATATATCAGAACTTTTCGATAGGGAAGAAGTCTTCAACCTGAGTTTCTTGCATGTTAGCAGCCGTCAGTGGGATGCTAGTGTAACCAGATGGAGCTTCATTTCGACTTCATTTGCCACTGATTACAGTAAAGTTGTAAAAAACCTGTCTAATCCATGTTAGTGAGTATTGGCAAGTGAGGATTAACTTGCGAGTCCTTTACCTATATCACATAATATCGGAACTCCATAATATCATAAAATTAAGCAGCGCTATGTTATTTAGCGTAGTGGTGTAATGGCATATTTGACAGACATGTTTAGAAATACAAACTAATATTACTTGAAGGTTCTTATTTGAACATTCAGAAAACAACAACAAATTGAGCGTAGAAATATATTCATTTTCAATTAGTTCCTCATCATCGACTCTATACTAATATGTAGTTTTGTTTACATCAAAACGGTACTACTCATATGATTGTTTTAGTCCATAAGGATTATCAGTTTTAGGTGTAGTCAACGGGGATGGGGTGAAGTGAAATTAAGATAATAAAAGTAATCAAAACGATGAACTAGTAGATGTTATTAACAAGAAATCTGTGTTTTGAAGGAGGGGTGAAAATAATTACGGAATTCAGGATCAGTTAATTCATCGGCGTTAGCAACAAGATATTATGTAACGAAGAAATCTGTTAAATAATGATGACTAAGAAGAATAGAATGACTAAGCACAGTTGCATCAAATACAGAGATGTCAACTGAATTCGCTAGAATTGGAGTTACCATAAAACAACAAAGTCAAATAATAGTTACAAGGGGAAGAGGAAGTCGTTCATAATACTTAATACCTATTATGTAGTTGGCTAAGGCGATAAAAGGGTTGCACAAATTTCTTCTAAACACATATATTTGGCTTGTTCAGATGCATTCCCATAGAGCATACTGCAGGCTGGGTGAAATCCGATAAATAGCTTTAAAATAGCTTTGTAAGAGTCAACCTGATGTTCAGTATCGGCGAGATGAGCTAGTATTGAGCCGTGTATAGCTTTATTCGAACCTTCACCGAACAAAGATTGGAGGTGTCTAGAAATTCAAAGATGAACTAGCCTGTTCGTACTGGTGTTGTTCTACAATTCCACTTAGTCATCATTATTTTACAGATTTCTTCATTAAGTAATATCTTATTGCTTGCATCTACTAGTTTATTGCTTCGGTGAAGTTTAATCTCTTATTTTCACTCCAGCCGCCCCATCCCCGTCGAATACACCTAAAACTGATGATCCTTATGGACAAAAATAACTATATGAGTAGTAGCGGTTCGATGTAATAATATGCACAGTCTTATAGAGCCGATGATAAAGAACTTATATTATTTATCATTCTGAGGCCGACTAATATATGCATACATATAATTTATTCATCCCTTGCATTCCTAGGAGAATGCAGAGCTGCAGCGGCATATCTCCACTGCACTATGTTCGAGTTGAAGAAAAGAACCCCATATTTGGAATTCATTAAAATTGCACACAAATCCAACAGTACATTATTTATAATTACTTTAGTTTCAATGTAGGTTTCATCACGAACGGATACTAGTGGCTGAGTCATTTATGACCAAAGCCTACCGAATAGTTGTTCGTGACAAAATCGCTGAATTTAATTAAAATTCCTAGAGATTTAAAAAATCAATCACTTCAGTCTTTTTTAAACAAATATCAGGTCAGTATATATATATACACATATATCAACTATTTATTACAAGGTTATCCTTCAATCATTACCAGTGAACTCCAGATTAATCTTCATTTTAAATTAATGAGTGTTTCAGATATTACCTTGAAATTACTGATAACAAAATGCAAAAGTAGGATTATTCCCATCAGTGTCAGGATGTTTCCCAGTGATGGATTAGGTCAAGGTTACATTCCCGATCGATACACTCTTGAAACTCGACTAGTTACTATTAACCGAGCAGAAGAGGGAAAGTTAGGCGTATAGTTAGTAATTCCACTCCTTTAAAAGAACCAACTCTACAACTTCTGAGACTTCCAAGCTTGAAGTGCAATTCTTCACTCGAAAGGCAAGGAATGAACTGAAAAATCATCTTTGTCACAGGCTGTGCTGTGGAAATGCCGTCTGCTTTGTGAAACATGAAACCAGGTTGCAGAACACTTGATTTAAGGATGAATAAATTGTGTATACAAAACTATACATGCATAATCTTATTTAGATGGCAGTGAATTGTAGTGGAATTCAGGATGTGCAGGTATATCCAGCTGACGAATCCCAAATGGGGAAAATATATGCAGTATAGATTCCACTGCTTGTAATTATTCACCAAATAACAATATGTAAATTCTCAGACATCGTTGAAGCATTCAAATCAGGAGGCAATATGTCAACACAGATTAAACATTTCAATCCAGCATAGTCAGTTAACGGGAAATACAAAATTAGCTTAAACAAATAACTCGTACTTAGTACATAGAACAAACCTTTATTAATCCATTTCCAGTGTTCAGTATCTTATCTGGATTTTCAATAAACTTCAGTCTCGCATCTTCATTAGCAAAGTAGTAGACTAAATTCTGGTAGACAGCTGCAATATCTGGATCACCAGCACGCAGTACTTCATGTTCATGTAAAGTAACTGGACAGAAATAACTTGTTAAGCCTAATTTCTTTTGTAAATTTCTACTGGGATCTGGTTCCTAGAAGAAGAAAAAAGCAACACATTTTAGAGAACTGGGAAGAAAAACTAAAACACCTGTTCATATTATTATTACTTCAGATATACCCTGGTTAATATACATAAATATGTGTGCATTGAAAACAATTCTATAACATTTACGTCAAAATCTGACTGTTTATAACTAATCTAAAAAATTCAAAAAATATGCACTGGTGGTCTGCTGATAAGCAAAACTGTACAAACAATCTTCTATTATCATAAAAATATTGAGGAACTATTTTTAGAAATTTACTTGTCCAGACGATTTTTCACAGTTTCCGCAGTTTTTTAATTCGAAACCTCAAAACACCAGTTATAGATAAAACGAAAATTTCAATTGACTGGTGCATAAGAATACAAGTGAATTCAAGATGATTTTCGACAGCAAAGCTAGAATTCACAGGTCACTGAATTCTGGCCTAAATGGCTGAATACCTGACGACCTAACTTTGTAACAATGACGGTCCTAGGTTCCATCCTTGGTGTGCTCGTGCATCCGCACTGCTGGAGAGTTCAGTGCTCCTTGGCTTTCAGTGCTATTCAAATAGATATTGGTTCGTGACAAAATCTACCCTGAATGCTATTTTTATCCAGAATCGATATGTTTCAGGAAAACGGGCAGATAGGGTCTTTATGATTGCAATTAATTTTTAGGTATATCACCAACAATCTCATACCAGTTTATTTTAGAGCTCCAAAAACCATAACATGTCCGAGACAAACAGTCAGTGATTTTATGGAAACATATCATACTTCATCCTGAATACAAACTGACAAAAGATGAGAAGACATTTACTAACGAATCATAATTAAATAATCACATTGTAACTTTACCCCTTCAGCCGCTGACGATCAATACTAAACTAGGTTATCAGTTTTCACTTCTAGAGAGTGTCGAATCGGGATGAAGCGGTTGTTCACTGCTTCGTGGAATTCTCTGGTGCTGAATAAAACACTTAAAACCATAAATTCCTTAGAAACCAAGAATTACCTTTTCTCAGTTGAAAAGAATTACAAATTACCCCGGTGGGTGCGTACTATTGAAGAGCCCGGTACTAGGAAGAAACAGCTATCCATTGCTCCCAGGTTTTCCTGTGGTTCTCTAACTGACGTCAGATCATGATGAAATTCTCTAACCAATTATAGAATTCAAATGCGATGATAGTGATGGTTAAATATTTTTTTAATGGCTGTACACAATGTTTATTGATAAGGTAAATATGCTTATCATTAGAACGAGTCTGTTCACCGGTCAGTCAGTCATCCTACTTGTATAGAGTTCTTGCATAAGGGGTCTGTCTCTACCTATTTAAATATAATTTAGCTCACTTCTTATTGACTGAACAGAAATCGAATATTTACTTAGCTAGACGATCAGCAGACCGAGACAGAGGTCCCTCATTTACATCAGTTAGGGAATGATTTTTTTCACAAGAGACATCTAGTTAGGATCAAGGTAGTGGTTTTTACCTTATAACTCGATTAGCAGAATATTGATGCATTATTCATAACGCGGTTATTTTAAACCCTGTTTGCCATTCTTATACATTGAAATTAGCCAGTCTAAACAACTCTACTATAGGTATTATACCGAATAGTCAATATGCATTCCATGTATGCATAAACCGTTTCTTAAAACAGTTTTGTTTATCCAGTCCACGAAAAGTGTAATACTAAGACACTGAGTTGCAAAAAGTACTTAAATGTGCTTACAATATACGGCTACAGATCGAAGGATTACCATATGTACAGTCAATCTTTATGCTATGTCATTAAAAACGATAACCGCCGGGTTAGAGTCTCGATAAGAACACTGTCACTGACTGAGAGGCATCGACCGCATCTATTTGACGCTTTTGCATTAAGAAGAAACACACATCCTGATAGCCACAGTGGAGCAAATGAAGTATATGATCAGTCCTGCTTAATTTCATCATGGACAGTTTGCTTAATTTGTAAATTATCCATGTTTCATAATCGAACCAATAATCACTTCCATTTTATGCATGCTATATATAAGTAAGATCAGATGGGTAATATCAACCTATCACTTTGTGTTACTGCATAGCTGTCAAAATTATCACTTTTCATGTTTGGATAATAAAGGTTTGAAAATCAATGAAATCAGATGTTATTAAGAATAGGTAGTAGGCAGAGGAAGTAAAAGTAGGCATAACTAAGCCACAGTGATTGACTGTGATTTTTTGAATGCATGGTTTCCCTAAACACTGACTCTCATTCTTTCAACAACCCTCATCCCTAGCAGAATTCCCTAAATCAACAGTTGATAATTCCACAGATTGGTGTAGAATATCTACTTAGCTTTCAAATTAGCCCTGTTTTAGTTATGTTTATACCTTAACAGTACTAAGAAACAGGCCAAATGAAGCTGTTTTGTAGTAATAACAATAATACAAGAAACATAAGAGCACTAATATAAGTGAAATGTATCGGGATTGCAAATCTTCATATTAGAAAATACACCTGTCGTAAAGTGCAACGTCGCTGCATAGTGGTATTAAACTTTTTCATATTTATCATGATAAAACTTGTAGATTATTTATAGAAAGATTTATGAAACCACACATACGTTTAATTCACTTATATAAGTAGTATAACGTGTAAATTCATGCATGAAATTGAGTTAACAGGGATTTCAGTTGGTTTCCGCCGATTCGAGGTGATTGGTCTGGTTTACTTTCTCTCTCCTTTAGGACACTATCCTCCAAGAAATATTTCATAAAAACTGACATTCTAAGTCATATTGACACTATGGATTGCCACTATTACTTATGTATATTGGTCCGTAAGTGATGTCTAAGCATTATAATAAAAAATCTCGAACTTAAATGTGTAAGAATACCGAAATCATGTTATTTTGGTTGACAGTGACTATCAGTAAAATCGATGGTGCATATATTTCGTCCCATTTTGGGGACATGTACCTGCATTCACAGTGAGTGATGATGTTCCCACTCGGAATGGAACCCTGCACCAATTACTTCAAATGTCATAACCTGTCAACACGAATCGAGCATTTCGGTTCAGCATAATGAATCAACGTGAAATGTGAATTGACCTAAAATTAAAGAGATACTGAAATCAATCTGGCGAAATATAATTTCAAGTCAGTGGAAAAGTGATTCAATTAAAATTATTCGACTACTCACTTCCTCTTCTTCTTCACCTTCCCCTTCACCTAATTCTTCACCTCCACCCTCTTCTTCCTCTTCCTCTTCATTCTCTGCTTGGCCTTCTTCCATACCTTCTTCTCCCATCTCGAATTCTTCATCAACTTCCTCTTCAAAGGCACCAGCATCTTCTTCTTCCTCTTCGTCTAAGTCATCTTGTGTTTTTGGTACAGCTTCTAATTTGAATTGTTCTAGAAGAGTTAAAATATTCTTTCATAGGTTTCAATATATATACATGCTCAAGAAAGTCTTTTTTCACTAATTAAAATTACGGTCCAGCTGAATAATTCATTGAGAAAATAATTAAATTCAAAGGCAACTCGACTATTAACAGGACGCATCTACATCGAATTAAGTTAATAGTATGTGTTGGAAATGGAAGGCAGAGGAACATTTTCTTAAACCAGACGACAGTTTGTAACCACCGTAGTAAAACGCCTCTGGAGTAATTCTATTAGGCCCTGCTGTGTTTTCCTCGTTTCGGATTGAGGACAGCCTTTGTTACCTCACTTAGAGATGGAGGCTGTCTCTAATCTGACGCGATAATAAGCATCAAGACCTGATGGAATCACAGAAAAGGCTCTTTTCGGTTATTTTGATTTTCCCCTTGGCTGTACAATCCCAATTACATACAATTTTTCATGAACGATGGTAGCAATAAAAGTGGTGAGTTGTCACAAACATAGTTAGAGATATTAGTCAATGCATAAGAAGAGTTGAGCAAGTATATTACACTTACATAACAAGATGAATAACTTAATGAACGAGATGAAATCAGGATGCACATAAAAACGAACGAAAGTATTGAATGATTTAATAGTTACAAGGAGATAGAAAAACAAACAAACAAAAATTAAGGTAGTATTAGTAGTCAACACGCATGTTACCATGATAGTAGAAGTGACTGAATAATTTTCTTTTGTAAGCGGACTTGTGGTTTCTCAATTTTTGACAACACTTGACCTACTTTTAAAATCTTAACACCGAGTTGCATATTTAATAATCTTCAAAAATGTTTTTGTAATTCATCCACTTCAACTCTAATCCCTTAAACATCATGTTAATTATCTTTATCCTTATCATCATATGTATGCTGGCTGAGCGATTTTTGGTGTCACTTGATGTCTTTCACTGTACAGAAAACTGTGTTTTTCCTAACAAAAAGCTAGAGTAATATTTAAGTCATTCACTCTGAAACATAAAAAATGTACTTTCATTATGAAGCCTTCAGTTGTAAGAATTTATGGTGGAGATTTTGGAAATAAGAATTCCAATAGTTAGTTTGTATGAATTTGATTTGTTTTTCTAACTGATATTAATTAGTGGTCAAATTTGAAACAAATCGAATCCTTACAAGGTCACTCTTGAAAATCAATCGGATACTCGCTAGTGACTGGCTACAGGAGATATAATGAGAAGTTATGACCACAGGAGTACTATAGGTCTGGAGTGAAGCCGAATACTCGCCGATGACATTAGCTGGTGGTCGCGCTAAAAATATCACCAGTCGGTAGAAGTTAGAATTCATAGGCCAGCGTGCTTCTGAAGAGTCTCAAACTGTGATGAAACAGCTGTCCAGTACTCCCTGGCTTTCTCTCAATCCATGATCAAAGTAGAAATAAGAAATTCACCTGGCCTATAATAACATCGAGCAGAACAGAAAGGGAATCAATAAATCGTTCAACTTACTAACTAATCTTTCCAATACTTCATCTCGCATTTGATCCATTGTCTTGTCAATTATACTTAATTCGTAAATATCAATTGGTGCACCTAGTGGTTGTGTTGTACGCGATAAAATATCAGAGGTTTGTGACCACATTTTATCCAGTTCTTTGATTCGTGTTAGTGCGGATTGACCTTGACGACCAGTTAAAAGGCTAATTTCATCAGGTACTTTAGGTAATTGTTCACTTTCCAAATCCTGTGAAATTGTACTATCAGTATTGTCAAACGGATCGACTGTTTCAATATCTAAATAGAATTAATTTTGTTACGGTATTTAAAAATCTACATCGTCTTTATATGTGATAAAAAATCTGTATTATTGGATATTTATTGTAACTAACTGTTTATTTATCTATAATTATTTTTGTGTTTAAGACACTACTGACAAAATGCCGAGTCTACTAGACAATTTGAAAGGAAATCTCACTGTTGTTGTTTAATATTCATTTCTTCTTAGTGAAATCTAAGATGATGTTGCTAGGGGTGGTCTGCATTGGTGCCTAGTTTAGGGGTAGGGTTTGAAATGTTTGAATGCACCAACCACTCCCTCTATTTGGAAACTTGACGTGATCCCACCAGGCTAGTCTGTGATAAAATCTTGACACCAATGCAAAATGGCTGGTTTAAAATTAACCGAACATCACAGTTTTAAGAAGTGGTGTTCACTTTCATCTGATAAGATGGTTGACAATTGTTAAAAATTGTTTTATCATCTTCAAAACCTAAAGTTCCTCACCAGTCTTCATTTAATTGCCTTCTATGCACTGATGTTGCCATAGTGTAATAACTTTATCTATGTACGTTTAAGATGTGTGACGACTTGAACTCAGATACACTTACGGCCAGAGTCCCAAGTTTACCCGTCAGGGAGTAAGATATCTTTTATTGCAATATTTCATTTGGTTCAAACTTATTACTTATATCGTCAAGTTCCTCGGTCGTTTTGCTTATTTCTAAGAATGAAGCATGGAAAAAAACTATTTATTATTTTTTAACTTACACAATTTCTAGTTTTCCTGAAATATCTGGTTGCTTATTTAAATACCAAGTGTCCTGCTCTTACATCCTACTATATAGCTGTTGCATATATATATATATATATATGTATATATATATATATATATGTTCATCGATGATGGACCATAAGAGAAGGAAAAAGACCTTAATCTGTAAGGCGTACTGGTTTATTAGGTTACTGATAGTCACTGACTGGAAACTCTCTCATGCTGAACAAGTCCCATTCTTCATTGAACAGCAACTTTGACTAAGGTAACTTCATTTCAAAAAGACAGTCGGTGGTTGAACAGAAGCCGTCAAGCTTAGCACCTAAGCAACTTGTCAAACGGTTCTTGAAAATAGACTGCATAGACACTGAGCTCAGTACACTGATTGATAACTAGGAATCAGCCAACTTCGTGTCTCCAATACTTAGTTTCGGCACTGATTGGGTTTTATCAAACAGGTTAACAGCATATACACCAAGCTAGATAAATACTAACTCGGAGCACCAATCAGTGTATTCACTGCGGTCTTACAGGAGGTCGCTCGTGATCCCGAATAGCCTAATGGTAACGTTGTTGACTGCAGCTTGAGGATGACTCTGAAGATACACCTAGGTAAAGAGTGCAGTAAGTCCGGAATCAAGGTCCGGAGCTTCCTGCCGATTGTCTTCAACCACCTAAGATATTATATTTAGTATTTACGAATAAACTTTATTCACTAATATGCCTAGTTGAGTAGAAAATTTCATTTATTTTCCTCAGGTTGATTTTTGTTACTTAAATGTTTTTTCTTCTCAGTTTTAATAAATTCCACATTTCGGTAGTCATCAGTATACTAAATTTTTTTATTAGCTTCTCCGTACTACTTGCAGACAATTTAAGTACCCCAATGTTGCAGAGGTATTCAAACAAAATATTGAGTTATAAGTGAAATAATTTGTGGTACATTGCCAGACAGAAGGTCAAATATCCACCTATTCTGTAATCTGATTGACGCAAAACTAACAATGACTGGATTTCTAGCCATATATGCTAATGATTGATTTAAATGAATAGTTGTATACCACCCACATTTGATTTGCTGGTTTGACTTCAGTTTCTAGCCGCCAATGAACTGCAGTGGTGGTGGCATAGCGGTAAGGACGCTCGCCGACCATGCACATGGTCCGGGGTTCGATACCCGGCCGGCGCACTCCTTTATCTCGCTAAGCCAGAATTAAAGCTGGTAAAGAGGAAAGGTTGGGCATAAAGCTAGCAACCCCATCCTGTAAAATAAACACTGCTACAGAAACTTCAAGCTAGATGCTTGAAGCCCTATGTTCCACTGGGAACGTGAAGGAATAAAAAAAATGAACTGCAGCCTCGAGAAAACATTATTCTCCCGTACGCTTATTCTCATACATTATTAACGCCTTTGTTTGCTTGGGAGTCAATAGTAATTTCCGCTCTAATTGTAAGCACCACCTGATCCCCTTATGATTATATTTAATATATTTTTTTATTCCTTTACGTTTCCAGTGGAGCGTAAGACTTCAAGCTACAGGCTTGAAGTTTCTGTAGGAGTGGTGTTTATTTTTATGGGATTAGACTGCTAGCCTCATGCCAAACCTCTCCACTCCACCAGTTTTATTATTGGCTTAGCGAGGTAAAGAAGGGCGTCGGCCGGAGATCGAACCCCGGACAACATGAGTGGTTGGTGAGCAATCTACCGCTGTGCCACCAACGCATGGTTTTATGTAATTCTAACAAATTTAATTCTTACATGGCAACAGGTTTGATAACATCTTTTATCCCTTTCCATTGCACTACTGAATAAAAAGTAAACATTTTTCTATTATAAATAATTCAAGAAATATTATTTGTCAGTTACCACTGAATTCTTCCACTTTCAGTTTAATCCACCGTTTAATCAAATACTCCGAATTTTGGCTTGTATCTTGCAGGTAAACCATTAAATCTGGTAGCAGATCTGGTGCTTTCTCAACAAAACCTTGCCAGACATCTGGTCGTACAGGAAGCCCATCTATAATCCACTGACCATGACTAAATAACCCAATGTTGTAAAGAAAATGCAGTTAGTCTGTCAGTCAGTTAATTACAAAGACTAAAACAATAACCAGCATGAAAAATGGTTGAGCATAAAACTTTTCCAGTGTAGAAATTCAAATAAAAGACTAAAAAGCTGTGGTAAAATTTTACACAATCAGATCTTCTGCATGAATTGGTTATCAGATGACAGTAAACATGGCTATATAGACTTGGTTAGGCATAGGATTTTTCGGACATATATGGAATGTAATCACTGGGAAAAGTGACGCAAATCGCTGATGACGATAAGAAGTAAAAATAAAATCTAAGTTACAAAAAGACTCATGCTCCCCAATTTTCTCCCCCAATTAGAACTATATCGATAAAACAAGTGGAAGTTGTCTAGTTCTTTTAAAATTAGCACTAAAACACGGTAGTGAATGTGACCCCATGTTCCGCAAAATCTGCTAGATACTATTCAAGAAAACTGCTAAAGTGACATACAGGAAATGTGCCTTCATTAAAACCACTGATAAATCAGATAAGCTAACAGTGACTAGCCCATGACATTGGCTGGCAGTTGCCCTATATACATGGCGAATCGGTAGAAGTTGGAATTCATAAGCCATTGTATTGGGTCCCAGTTACTGAATGGTTTAAGAGCTCGCTTTGCAACCGGAAGGTCCTGGGTTTAAATCCCAGTGGGCTCACGCTGGTAAAGCATCCCAAACTAGGATAGAACAGTTATGCAGTACTCCCTGGTTTTCCAATGCTTCTCTAACTGTGCATCGGTGGCCCAGCGGTTAGGACTCTCGCTGACCATGCACATGGCCCAGGGTTCTATCCGTAGCCGATGCACACGGGATATCAATTGGACGGCCTGCAAAATTTGGGCTACCAATATCATGTGCTAAAAATTTCATACTTGTAACAATAATTCGCTGTGGAATCAAGCTATAATCAAAAATTTTTAAAAAATATTTAACCAATCCAATTTTTGAAAACCAACAGCTGAAAAGATTGTCTCAAATATAATCGCCCTTTTCTTCAACTATACTTAATTCTTTTAGTTCCTTACTATATCATATCTAGCTATAAAGTGAGTACAGACGTCGCGATTGTACTTAATGAGTAGTATTTAAAACTGTGCATCGACGTGCCTTATTCCATTTCCGAATTACCATCTTTGAAAAACAAGACAAAATCTCCACTGATACGTATCTGAAGAAAGATTCAGATAGCTGATTACTGAGAATGCATGACTATTAATCATAATAAAAAAAGAAGGATTTACTACACCTGCTTTTTAGGAATTTTATATATATATATATGTATATATATTACTACTGAAATTTGATTTGTAAATTAACCTAACTTTTATGTATACATGTAAAACTGTGAATAAAATAATTCTTTCATTTTCTATCTATCTATCTTTCAACTGTGCCCGACTGATGGCTACTACCTTAAAATGGTGATCAGGCTTCTATATCGCAACGACAGAACGACCCTAATCGGCTGGAACGAATATTGTTGCGAGTTCTGTCATGACAGAAGAGTCACCTGGAAAACGATTAGAATATAGCAGTTATCATAGTAGTGTAAACCACTTATATTATGTTTGCGTCAGAGGAAGATATTGTAATGGTTATGATGAAGGGTTTGACAGAGTCAAAGTGTTTCTCTTGAACGCCCAGCAAGACAGCTATGCTGCCTGCTTGATTTGGGGACAGGGGTTAGACAATGTCATCCTTACTTATTAGACAATTTCCTGACACCCTGGTTGGTAAAAACTTCCACATAACAGCTTACAATTACTCATGAAGGATTAGTAAGTTGATATGCAGTATTCGAAGTAGTTTTCGATGCAAATCTACATTATATAGAGGATCACTGGAAAAGAAAGAGAACTGGTCAGTCGTAGTTGAATTCAGTAAGTCAAAGCTGTAAGAAGAGTCAATTGTCAGTTGAAATACAATCCTCTGTGAATTATAATTTATATCAGATTCTTTTACGGCAATTACGCCATTCACTGTCATCGACAATTGTTATTCCTAACACTCAAACTGATGGACTTCATATGTCACGATTTCTCGTGATATTTAGAAAAAGCATTTTTGGAAATTTGTTTCTAAAGCCTAAGCTATTCGAAAATATTTAAATTCTGGTTCTCTTTCTCAAATATATAACTCTGGAAATTCTCATTATTTTCGTAAAACACAGAATGTTATTCACTTACTAAGGACCCCCTGGATTATTTTTACGTAATTCATCTTCAACCTCTTCGACTGCAACACGTACAGCGTTAATGTAAAGATCAACATCCAATTCTATTGGTTCTTGTTTAGCTAAATGTATAGCTTTCTTAACTCTTGTTTTAACTTCTGGATGATTTTTATCCACCGGTTGACGTAAATCTGTAAGAATTATTCCAGTAGAATAAGAGAAAATAAAACAGTTTATCCATTCATATTAAACGTGTCATAAAAGAGACGAATGAAGTAACTGTTATAATTTCTATCTGTTATTTGCGTTTCAATTAGAGCGTAGAGCTTCAGCAGCGCATATTCGTCTACCTCCTTTTCTACCTTGTGTCATCACTACTCATGAGCTTTCATTTTCTCCTCATCTTCCTCCTCCTTTTCACTCTTGTCTCCACGCCTAACTCACCGCTTCCCGTTTGGGTTCAGCTCAGCGGTCTGTCTATCGTGTGATGTCACTTGAAGGTCGCCTCAACATATGTCCAGTCCATTTCCATTACCTCCTGAACATTTCTTGAGCCATAGATCAACGGCTGGCGCTCTGACAAACCTCCTTGTTTCTTTCGACCAACTGATCATCTGATCTTGGTTATCAAGTGAAGGCATGTGTTGATCAAAGTCTTCATCAGGCTGTTGGAAACCCCTCTAGTGCGATGCATGGTAAGTCCCTGACTTGATACTAGTGTTCCAAACACGGGTTTCGCTTATCATTCCAAGTGTTATAGACTTTCACACTTATTGTAAAGTAATGAATACCTGCCTTCCTTTTACAATGCTTTCCTGACTGGCCTTCACATCTTCAGTGATGGTACATGCATTTAAAGCGACGAATTCCTTTAAATTTCTCCCATTGTTGTTGTTCGTCAGGTATCTTCATCAGCTTTGTTTTCACCATTTTCACCTGTAGTTTTATCTCGACAGCCTTTTCTATTAAGTTTTTGTCCTTTGCTTGTATATCTTGAAGTTAATGTGATACTGGATATAAACCGACTGCGAAATCCAAATATTCTAGTCAGTAAAACGTATACACATCAACTTGAAGTGGTATGGTATGCATTCTTTTTATCTAATTTCAATATATAAATTTCAATACAATATTTTACACACACACATCCAGACAATAGATAATTTCAAAGGGTGAAAATTACAAGATTTTGAATATGAGTAGTAATTTTTTTCCGTGAAATTTCAGGTAATTAATGAATGAATAGGGATAACGGCTATCGAAAACTGTCACTTGTAATTAATAATGGTTAAAATTAAGAAGAGAACATTTCAATTTAAAGATTGAAAAGTGTGGAAAGATACACAAATTTCAGTTGAGTTATTCTGCAAATAAATTATGTGCCTTGCATTTTTTGTATGGGTCATGAAGGGATCGCTGAGTATATGGTTTGCTTATGTCTGTAGATCTTATACCTCATGATATTGACTGAGACAGATGTAACGATTCCCTAGAGATTAAAATCTGTATTAAGCGAATCGTTATCTTATGAATGAAAGATCGATTTCTACAACTTTCCCAGTGAATTCAAGGCTATAATAAGTGGAACCTAAAAATTTGATTTGTCACTCTATTCACCCGTCAAAGTGAATAATGCTATTTCCCACATTACATCAGTGTTCTCTTCGGGGGTCTGGGATAACTTGGTTAACAGGGGTATTGGAATTTTACATACAGAGCGACATGGGTATATATGAGAACATGTATTTGAAAACTTAAATAAAATGCGAATTGGATGAGAGGCCTTTCTTCTCACTGACACCCTGCTGTTTAATTTAACTGATCTGTCAAGTGCATATGTTCTGCACTGATAGTAACAACGATATAACTATGGTTCTATTTCTTTATTAAACTCCTTTCCTCATTCAAGTGAGATATACATGTTCAAAAACTGTTTGAGCCCATTAGAATTGTCGTCAAAGTAGTTCTGAGTAAAGTTCTACCACGCCAGACTGGTCCAAATGAAACGTTTGAATTACTTATTTCAATTTCGCTAAGATTTTTACAAATACATTTTTACATATGTCTACTCCTCATTAGGCAACCAATTATTTTGAGACTTCGGTCAAATCTTGATCACAGTTCATATGAAATACTTATGGTTGTTATGAGTTATTTTGAGCTACTTGCGTTTAAATCAGTAGTATATCTGGTATAGCTTAAAAAAGTAAAACATCAAACCAGTGAAATTAAGGTGTAAAACTTCGATGCTGTGGTAAATTGTAATTTCATTTTAATTTATTCATTGCAGATATCACATGGTTAAATAGTGTAACTTACTGGGTAAAATATTATCCGGGTGTGGGGCATTCATGTAACATACAATCATCTTCGAACTTTAACCAAAACTATAAGACTGCGTACTATTTCATCACCCTTAGTAGATCTGATAACATAAAGTTATAAGCACCTGATAGTTGAGCAAAAACGTATCCAGTAAATAATACTTTTCCAGTGTGTGGAAAACTAATGGAATCGTTTTGCCTCATTGGACTTTTCCCGAAGAGACTGAAGGGATCAGTACTAAGGTATTTTATGTTCATAGGATAAACCAGTGTCTGTTTCCGTGAAAACATCGATTATTTGAGCAATAAACCATTGTTTAGATTTAATCGTATTATATGGTAACAAACCAAAAGATCGCTGGTTTATTTAATTACAAGACAATCCAGTAAAAACTCCTAAAGTATTTATGAGTTACATTATTGCTAAAATTTTTGACTAATTGCTAATTGTTCTTATTCAGAATACATATAATTTAAGTCATATGCACTTTTTTCTCTCTTCGTACTCCAAGTGGAAAGTAGGACTTCAACCTTTGAAGTTTCACGGGATCGGGTTGTCAGCTAAGACTCTATACTACTGACTGATTGAGATAAGTAGTTGCTTACCAGCCATACCAGCAGGCAGTGCTTGCTAGCCATATCGACGTGATCTAAACACCGGACGGCCGTTCTGCTTGTTTGGGGCCGAGCTACTACGATGAAATTTCACCACCCAAACTGTGTACATCGCAAATTATGAATTTCATTCGCTACTACCTAGTGAGCCAAAACAGCAGTAGGTTTGTGTCGGCAGCAGACCGATTCCCATCCTGTTGCGTGGCTGGTGAGTATTCTGCAATGGAATTGCCGACGCTTTTGTCGCATATTTACAAGTGAATTAGCTCAAGATGCTACACTTACAAAAAGTGCTCATAAAAGTACACTAACTTGGTACTAAGGAAGAATAATCCGCATATTGATGAACTTAGTTTCATCTATACAACTGAGGTTGGTTATTCTCCAGCTATATTTATTTTGATAGAAAACTTAAAAGCTCAGGAACTCAATTTCTGGAGTTGTCTGATGAGAATCATGTCTATTCACTTATTGAATATTGCATTTAATCATGACAATTTTATTAGACATGTGACTGAGTGACCGAACTATCATCGTAGAACTTTACAAAGAAAGATATTATTTTACTTTTCTACATTTCAGAAAATTGCATACAAAAGCAATGCGAACAAGTACAACGAATGACCATGTATGACAAGGGGCAATTCAATAGGGACTAGTGGATGTTGAAAAGGAGTGAGTACATTTATAAATGATTTTCAGCCATGTCACAAACGGCCTCCAACACGAATGGAATTAGCCGACGACTTATGTTTAATGTCACACAAAATCAAAGGTTTACGGAAGAAGACGTTGCGAAAACAGGACAGGGCTAGTGAAGATTCCTAATCAATAATAATGAACACTAGCCATTATCAAAGACTGGATTGGAAAGAGTAGATGGACATTTATTAATCTGAAACCACTCTGGTAATCTACCTCACTAAGCATAGAGAACAAGACTCGATTTTTGTTGTGTAATTTCTTCCGCATGGGCCAGAAACCTGGTACGTCACCAATAGTATTTCCAACAGGTTGCAGACTTTTGTCAACAGTCACCTTCACTAACCTGACACTGAAGATCAGATAACCATAAAGGATTGGCAACAAGTAACTCTGGGAACAAACTAACCAAGGACCCACTGGCCAACAAATATGCCGAAGAAACGGAAGATGAATCGGACACATGCTGAGAAGGCCGTCAGATGATGTATTGCGCCAGATTCTGTAGTGGAACCGGAGTGAGGAATGAGTAGTTGGGCGTCCTAGGGTGACATTGGAGGAGATCATTTGAGGAATAGACGAGAACTTATGGACGACTGTACAAGACGGGCTGAAATAAAGATGTATTGTTGAAGCCTTATGTTTCAGTCAGAACCTAAGGTAATAGTGATTATCACAATACAAAGAGTCTCAGACCATTGACTCTTAGGATTCCAGAAGACCAATTCAGGCGGTATTCACCTCCCTGCATGGCTCTGACCAACTGTAAATGGCTGCTAAAATCAACATTAGTTATATTTGTATGGTTCAGTTTTCTCTGAACTTCACTAAGAAGTTAGAGATGAAAATGTCTTTTTTTCTTTGTGTTTGAAGTTGAACATAGGGTTTCAAGGTAGAGCTTTGAAGTTTTGGTAGCATTGGTCTCATGCCCAACCTCCCCTCTTTACCGGTCTTACCACCGGCTTAATAAGGTTTAGGAGTACGTCGACAGAAGATCGAACCCCACCCCACGTGTGCCATGGTTGGCGAGTGTTCTACCGCTGCACCAAACGACGCATTTGACATCTTTAGGAAGATAAAACACAACCGACTGAGGAAAATCTTTTTTGGTGAGTTGTTCATGAACAGTATTTTCCATCTCTGAAGTCCTTAAGTTGAAAACTTTTGAATTAGACTTTATTTCATCTTAATTCATCAGCTACTTTGGATAAATAATTAAAGAATACTCCAAATTAACGTTTATTCTACTGATAATAACAGTAGGCAAGAATGAACTAATAGTTTTGTTCCGTGGTTACTTCACTTCAGTTGATTCTACAACTTCACTCAAGTTGTTCACATTTAAATAATACATTAAAATAAATTACTCACGTTCTGGGATGTAAAGTGAAAATGGCTTTGAGTTTTCTTCGCTTAATAGGCTTGTTTCTGTGTAAGTAAATAAAGGCGAAAGTAAAACTTAATGATGAGATGATCTCAGAATTTTGGTTTATTTTTTTGCTAAGTAATTTTGTAAATTTAAAATATTAACTCAACAAATCAACTTTATTCCTTGTTACACTTATGCTAATTCCCTTTGCTTTGTCTCTCATTGCTTCCAGTTTGTGAAGAACATTGAGGATCTTAACTTGTCTCTTTTCATATATCACTTTTCTGTTCACAAATATATTAGTTGTTGAGAATACTGACATAATGTGCAGAGAGGCCAATATAAATTCCAAGAATAATGTATCTACTGAAGATGTCCAATTTCAGCTCGACAGCCGGCTATTCTGTCAAGTTGACTATGTTACAATGAGAATTCCTTCAGGGCTGATACATAAGTCGTACGAAAAGGCGATTGTTCGCTCGAAAGATGGCGTATCTGACTTAGTAGTTAAAAAAACTCGAGTCAAGGTAGTCGATAATTCAATAAAAAAGCAACCCATAGAATGCGGACATGATATTGCCTCTGTGAAATCATTCACTGCTGTCAGAAGAGAAACAAAAAGATTGGTGCTTACGAATACAGACGCTTGTGAAATTAGGGTCTATAAACCCAGTCTCTGTTTGGAGAAAGAAATGGTGGTCACTTTGATACGACCACAGTCATATCTATTACTCGTTAGCTGTTATTAACACTATTTTGTTTATGTCATCTGCTGTTATTATTATAGGGAACTTTACACTCCAGAAATCTGTTCCTATCCTTCAATAGCCATCGAGTGTTCACCCCTACACTAAAAGACATTTTATCTAATCTTAGGTCCCCCTTGTGTATTTAGCATTCTAAATGTTCAAGCGGTCCAAGCTACATAGGTTGTATGACTAGGCTGCTTCATCTACGGATTCGACAATATTTACCAACCTGGTTCAAAAGATGTGAAGTCAGACAAATAGAAATTTCATCTCCATCAGAATAGGTAAATATAAGACGCCGCATTGACACTATGACAGCCTTTACGGCTATATACCACATTTCTAATGCATCAGCATACACATTTCGCCTACTTCCTCTACATACAGTTGGAATTATTGCGATAAGATTAACTTGGTGGGAAAATTTTACTTAAAAAAAAGACTTTCGGCCGTTGCTCCTGCAGTGACCAAAATCTTATTAGAAGTTCTTTTCCCCATGGATTTATCTCCACCTTGCTCCCCTCTGATACTTTTTTACTTTTGTCTTCTTCTAAGCAGTTTTAGTCACAATGTCACAAATTGTCAGAAGTTAGAATTCATGGGCTATTGGATCAGGTCCCAGTGGATTAATGGTCTACGAGCTCACTAGCCTTGTAACCAGAATGTCCTGGGTCCAAGCCCAGGTGAGTGCATGCCGCTGAAGAGTCACAAACTAAGACATAACAGCTTTCCAGTACTCCCAGGTTTTCCAATGGTTCTCTAACTGATGTTAGCTCATGATGAAATCCTCCAAACATTTTTGTATAATTTATACCATTCACTCTGGTATTCTTTACTGTCAGCTCTTCCATACGTATAGATACTATTAAGTCATTCTCATTGATTATTAGTGATATTATTTCCTTATTCATTATATGACTACACTTCATTCATTTCACATTTCGATTATTCCCTTATCAACTATTCCCCTCAGTCTTAACTTCTGTTATTTGTTTCATACTATCTGTACACTCACCACTCACCAGACACGTTTTAAAACATTAGAACAACTTACTTCCATTTCCTTCCCCACAATATAGGAATCTGTTATGAGTAATTTTTTCTTTCTTTTTCTTTTGATTACAGCTTGATGCCACACCGTATTTTCAGTACAAGTATGGCATTTTCAGCATGGATATCGGTAGCCCAAATTTTGCAGGCTGACCATAGATATCGGGTGTGCGTCGGCAGGGGATCGAACCCCGGACCCTGTGCATGGTCGGCGGGAGTCCTAACCACTGTGCCACCATCGTCAACTTGTAACTAATCTATTATTCTATATAAAACTGTGTCCATCGCATAATTGGCTATTATCTCAGCGATAGCAAATATTTCATTTTATAACTTTAGAACTCTGCAGGTGATTTATTGGAAAGAATATTCCCGGTTGGCCCACGAATTGATATCAGTTAGACAACCACTGAAAACCAGAGAGTGGTAGACAGTTGTTTCGTCCTAGTTAGGGACTCATCGGCGGCACGCAACAACTGGGTTTTGGACCGAGAACCTTCATGGGCCGTTGAGTCGGTCCCAGTAGCTGAATGGTATACGAACTCGCCTTGTAACCACAAGGTTCTGGGTTCGAAACCCACTGAGTGCATGCGGCCAAAATAGAACGAAACAGCTGTCCAGTACTCTCTGGTTTTCAATGGTTCTCTAAATGACATCAATCCGTGGTCTAATCTGAAGCAGATACAATCCCTACAAATTAATTCTTGGAACGAATATTTTTCTTTAAGGCCGACTATTATTCCATCATATGTGAATATTTCGCACACTTAAACCAGCTATCACCTTTACCTCTTTTCTAAAACCAGATATATGGAACTCGGTAGCTAAAATAATACTTTATTTTTCATTAAATTAGTACAGAATAAAAACAGGTTTCATGAAACGCATTCAATTCTATAACTATTTAAATTAAACAAGAGGAACAAAGACATATCGGGATTATGTCGAATAAACAAACAAAACACTGACTAACCTGTATTATCTACTGAACCTTGTATTAAATTTATTAACAAGAAGAAACGAGGTTAGACAAGTTAAGTGTTACCAAGAGTAACGTTTCTGTGCCTAGGTTTATTAATTTTATGAAAACTAGACCCTTACCTAAATTTGTATTATACGATAATCTTATTAAATTTCCCACCAAAGTTTCATATCTCTACCATCTTAAATGTGTATCGCTCATGCACTTAAGTGACAGCCAAGCAAAGGTGTTTTCGCCTTCACTGTTCAAGAGGGAGTAACCAGTGTCATTTATCTAGCCCATGATGTAAGAGCTATCTGAACTTCATCAGCCAAGTTTGCAATCCAGTCACCTAGAAAAGTGACTCACCATCGTCGTACACTTTGAATTATTATTAGATAGTTGAAGGTAATCAGCAGGATGTCCTGGACTTATGTTCCGTGCTTTTCGACACTTTTTAGCAAGGTGTATCTACATTATCAGAGGAACTGATGTTTCTTTTCAGGTTCTAGCCCGTGTCACCAAGTGCTGCGGTCATAGAGATTACCATTGAGGTATTCGAGGTCACGGTTAACCTCCTATCAGAGTGTAATGGATACACTGATTGATCACTAGAATGTGACTAGTGCAAATAACAGAACCTTAAGTCAAAACAAACACCTACACCTCTTTGGATAGTTAAAATATGCAGTTTACTACACTGCTGCAGTGTGTGCGTGTGTGTGTCAATCATTTTCATCATGAAATGATTACTAATCAAGTTTTAAGTTTTCATGAATAAAACTTTATATGAAAACAGGAAATCAAACAACACGGACAAAAATATATTCAGGAATACATCAAACGAACAAACAAAGCAAAAACTAACCTGTGAACTCCATTGAACCTTACATTAAAATTTATTAACAAGAAGAAATGAGTTTAAACAAGTAATGCTTTTGTGCCTTTGGTCATTAATTTGTAGAAACCAAACTCTTACCTCAGTCACACACTCACGTAACAGCTAGTTAAACCCGTTTTTAATCACTATCAATCGAAAACAAGATTTTCAGGTGAATGTCATCACTCTCTCGGTAGAGATCTGACCACGTAAACAGCACACTACTGATATGAATCCTGTTTCGACCCTAAGACTATATTCCACCTTCAATGCTAACCAATTACACCAACATAACTCTTCCAACCCAAGGGTCACAGTATTTAGTCCCTTCGGCGTCAAGATTAGTAGGAAGAATCACATCATTGGAGTTATTCAGTTCATCTTGCTGATCAGCTTTTGTAATTCTAAACCAATAGCACACTATTTTTATACGATGCGTCGGTGGCACAGCGGTTAGGACACTCGCCAACCATGCACATGGTCCGAGGTTCGATCCCCTGCCAGCGCACACCTGATATCAATGGTCGGCCTGCAAAATTTGGGCTACCGATATCACATGCTAAAAATTTCATACTTGTACCAAAATATTGTATGGAATCAAGCTATAACCAAAATAAAAAAATATCATGTATACTAATAAATTTCATGAGTAGTTAGAAACTGCTCGCACTAACTAACAGTACCTGTTAGCAACAACGGAGAAATTTAATTATTCGACAGGCATTTTACTCTTTCAAATTTCACCTTTTCATCGGCACGCTCCTAAAATGAAGTATTATAGACAGTTAAGTTGCCTAGTGCCTTAGGATTATGGCTGTACTACTGTAATACATTGGAAAACAAAAATTCGCTCACTGAAAAACTTTTTTTATTAATCCTAATTAAATGACAATTATTATTATTAGGGTAGTAAATGTTGAATGCAAGATTAATGCTTACTTTCTTCACTTTCTGTGTCGTCATCATAAATTTCTGCAGCATCTTTAATGGCATCTTCTTCTATTTCATCTGCAATTTTCTGTGTAATCACTTCACTTGTATGCTCAGCAATTTTATCTTAAGATTATTTCGCGGCCATTTAAACAAAGTAAAAATCCATTATATAAGTTTAATGAATACTGAAATGTCTGCACTTTAAATGTAATAAAATCAAATGAAAATAAAGCATCTTCAATTCAGTTACAATGATTCTTTGTGCTTATTTAATGAAATTCATTTAAATTATCCTTTTAACGCATAGAAAGTGTAAACCGCCATAGATTCTCAAAGTCATTGTGGCACTACAAGTGCCAACTGACCACTAACTTTTAAGTGTTTATTTTAGATAGGGTAAACTATAGAATATCAGGTATCACAATGTGGTCACTAATGAAGTTAAGTGATATGACACTGCTTAACGCGAAAACTGATCGTTATTTGTCATTAGGTGTAAGGAGGACTTAGTGAGCATGAGCAAACTGGTCAAATGAAGCCAATGTTGCTGTTCTTGCTAATACTATTATTATTATTTGTTATTATTTCCTTTAGTTCCTAGAGGAACATAGGGCTTCAGCCATGCGTCTCCATTGCGTTCGGTTCTCTGCTACAGTCTTCACCTGGCTCCATGTCTGCCCACACGTTTTCATCTCCTCTTCACATGACCTCCTCCAAGTCACCCTTGCACTGGCGACCAACTCGCCGCTTCCATTTCGGGTTCCACTCAAGGGCTTGTCTAGTGATGTCACTTGATGGTTTCCTCAGAGTGTGGCCAATCCATCTCCATTTCTTCCTGCCTATTTGTTTCACAATCGGTTCCTGGTTGGTTCGCTCCCAGAGATCTTTGTTGCTGATCCTTTCCGGCCATCTGATCTTGAGTATTGAGCGAAGACATCTGTTAATGAAGGTCTGTAGCTTGTTTGAGGTGCTGTCTATGACGCTCCAAGTGTCTGATCCGTATAGTAGCACTGACTTCACATTGGAGTTGAAAATCCGGATCTTATTTTTGATGCTGAGTGTTGTTGACCTCCACACAGACTTGAGAGTAGTGAAAGCTTGTCTTGCTTTTCCGATCCTTGCTTTGATATCCTCGTCAGTTCCGCCTGTAGTTGAAACGATGCTTCCCATATCGGTAGGTAAAGGAGGTTGTTTCTTTCAGGTTCCTTCCATTTATGCTGATTGTTGTCAGTTGTTGTTGTTGCTGTTGGTGGTGTTGCCCAGGAATTTTCATCACCTCTGTTTTCTCAATGTTCACCTGAAGTCCTATCTTCTCCGGATGCTTCTTCTGCCAACTTGTTACTTTTCACTTGCATATCTTCCAGTTTGTGGGAAATCAGACATATATCATCGGCGAAGTCCAGATCCTCCAAGTTCTTTGTGTGAGTCCATTTTATGCCTGTTTCCTCATTGCCCACTGTTTGTTGCATTATCCAGTCTACTGCAATCAGGAAAATCATTGGCGATAGCAGGCAACCCTGTCTTACTCCTGTCTTTACTTCGAAGGATTCCTTGCTAATACTACTTTCTCTGATTTTAGTTAGGACTTTAAAAAGTTCGAAAAAATGGTACACGCTTGAATTTAACAAAGGGAATACAAGTTAACGAAGCTCCGTTCTCATCATAGTGGGTAAAGTGCAGTTTGCCTGGTTAGAGCTTGTGAAATAGAATGCAACCATTTTATACTGCAAATCTGGTCCTTCTTTCCTAATCGAAACTTATAAAAGGAACCAAATGTATGAAATTACAAATTACTTTCTGAAATCAATAAGTCCCCACTTCAGTCAGCATTGCAGGACAATGTTATGGTTTTGAAACTTTTATGTGGCAGTTAAACTTAAAATATGCATCCGATTTTGGTAGATTATCCCCTGTAACTCGGTAATCTTACCGACTGAACTATAATGTGGATTCTTCTGACAAGTGTTTATTTTATTTTCCTAAATTCGTGTGTTGATAGTCCAGTAGCAGAGTGCTTGACAGCCGTGTCGGAGGTCCAGGTTCGTCTCTTGGCCAATACACTCTTAGACCTCATCGGTATTGGGCCCAGATTAAAAAAGGAAGATTGAGAGTGAGTAAGCACCTCATGAAAACATTACTGTCGGTTGTGAAATTTCAAAGCCCTTTTTCCATTCGGAACGCAAGGAATAAGGAGTTGCGAAATACAAGAAATGAGGTTAAAAATGAATTTGTTCCATTCCGGTTAACCTTGCTTCATTTTACTGGATTTATTCCAATGTACTGATTTTGCACAGCTTTAGTAGAAACTTTACTTTCACAAACATACTTATCTACGTATTACTAATTAATATTATTTATCAATCTTGGAGTTATTTCACCCTCTAGTGTAATGTGATAGTTGTCGTTAACAATTAGTTCTTATTGGTTCATGAAGATATTAATAAGAATCAAACAAAAATAATACAGTAGATGAGATTCTGAAGGACCGCTCATTCAGATTGCTGAGAATACCTTTCATTTCGGCTGACAGATAATCAATGGGCGTATGAGGGACAAACTGCTACTTTGGGCCACTTCAGTGTATATGTATAAATTCACTTGCTCCTGTGTGGCTAACTGTATTAGCCCCATCAAACACAAACACACACCAAACGCATCTCCATACACTATCCAGCATGGTTAGCGAAAGGACAGTGTAAGACAATTACTAACACAATTCTCAAGCATCCAGTGAACTCAGACCACTCAGCTCTACTAGGGTCGTTTTTTAAGATTATCTACAAGGTGAAATTAAATGGCAGAAGGGGTGTTAGGCTTCAACATTTGTGTATGGCTGACGCTCTGGCGACTCCTCAATATAACCTCAAACTCTATGTAAAGAAAAGGTTTGTTCAGTGCCTTACTGAATTAACTAGTCGGCACCGAGGCCTAGTTTAACAATAGGCAGTGAAATAAATGAATGTGTGGACCACTTAACTTATTTGGAAAGCTACTTCAGCTCTGATGAACTTGATTACTAATGAAATCTCAGCTCAGATATGAAAGGCTTATTCACCAACTTGCTGCATCCTTGAAGACAATGTGGTATTCGGCTACCTGTCGATCGGCATGTGTGTTGTACAACAATTTTTTCTATCCTATATGAAGTTTGTAAAAAATGATCAAAGATATGGAATGGTTTCACGTTTTCAATTGCAAGTGTCTTCATTCCAGTGATAGTGGTGAATTATAAAGGAGTTTGATGTGAAGTTTTCGATTATAAGAGTGGGTCGTTACGTGGCTTATCGACTGAGACAACTAAGACATATGATAAGCTTACCTAGCCACCACCATCCTGTACAAATGACGTTATCTGAAATACTGTTAGGTTGGAAAAGACTTCAGTTTGGTCCTACTAAACGATGGTATTAATATATGAGACCACTAACTGTTGGTTAGAGCCATGAAGGGAAATGTAGATTGCCTGTTTTTGTTTCTTGGATTACCAAGAAACACTAGTAATGCTGTTTTCATTTCTGTGTTTCTTGCACTCCTTCGAAATGCATTAACTTGGAGTGATTGACTTTTATGAAAAGTATATCAATTGGTCAGTCAGTTTTACCAAATAGATTATATTGCTGCATTAAGTCAAACAACAATTTTAAAAAAAACATTAAGCAACACAATTTTCCCATGTAAACTAAACCTTACTAGTTTTATAGGCTTCAAGTTCAGCTTCATGTCGTTCAGTGACTTCTTTAATAACAATAGCCTCTGTGGTCTCTTGAACTTCTTGTAATCTTTCATTTAATATTTTATCATATTCTTCTTGAAGCATTCCAACTAGATCAATAATTCTAGCTCTGTATGATTCAGCCAATACACGTATCAGCTGAGTCTTACCAGTTGACTTAGCTCCGAGTACAATAACACGAAATGGTGGTCTTGGTTGAGGCGGTAGTAAATATGGTCTTGGATTTTTCATAAATAGTGTATAATTGGTAATATTTGAAAGGCAGAATATCTGACCAAGATAACTTGATCATTTTAAAAATGAAAAAACAAAACCGCCTGTTTAGTTTTGAAATATTTCTCAGATAAACAATGCAACTAAAATTACTTAATTCACTGTGGACTTCCCTGTTGATTGATTGGCCTGCTCGGCCTCTGCTGACATGTTGGCTCCTAGTGCAGATGATTTGACAATGTCTGTGGATTTAGGGGATAGAGACTAGCAGTGGAATCCATGATACAATATAACCGGTAAAACAATAAGCCTTTCAAACAGTAAAGATGGACGCTGTGATTTAAGCAAGCTAATTTTAATCACTTCACAGCAGACGACTATAAAACAACTCGTGTGCTGCGAGTCATCTAGATGTGCAATTAAAACTGCGATAGGAAAGAACTGTATTTCAGCGCTAAATCAGACATTATGAAGATCACTTTTGATATTCTTGTCAGGTATTGAAATCGAAGCCGAACCAAATGAATAAATCCGACAACAGTCAGATAAATATAAATTTAGAATCTGAACAGCACGACAGATTATAATCCTGTCTAAGAATAATGTTGTCCAATAAAATCCCACAGTTTCAAGGACAATTCATCAGGTACTTTGCAGCTGATGAAAACAGATTTCATTATGAATTGATACCAGCTGGAAGAACTATTAAAACCTGGGAAGCTCTGAATAGCTGTTTCCCTCTAACAATACTGTATTGAGACTTGGTGAAAGTTAGAAATCAGAAAATATTGGATTCCATTTCGACATCTATATAAAAATGCAGCTACGTCGTAACATAATGATCTTCAACTTAGTACTTTGCAAAATCAAGAATGTGAACAAATAGGACTGCAAGAAGATATCCAATAAAAAATACTGTTGTAATCTGTTCTGCATATTATTAAAATATTCCCAAGGATTTCCTTACTCAATAGAAAGCGAACAAAGTACGGCCTGTTTGATAACTTGATAGTTAATAGTAACATGTCAATACAAGTCAGGGGATAATTATCTGCAATCGACAGTTAGATAGACAAAGTTAGTCGATGAAAGCAAAACACTTATTTGTATAAATCTATGTGTAGAAAGACTAATCAAGCAGATAAGTTTCACACAATTGATTCTCATTACACTTTGTGGAAATAATGAATTACAGATGAATTTATGTGATAGAATAGGGGGGATGAGAAATATTATGCATCATATTTAAAAGAAGGTGCGTCGGTGGCATACCGGTTAGGACGCTCGCCGACTATGCACATGGTCCGGGGTTCGATACCCGGCCGACGCACTCCTTTACCTCGCTAAGCCAGAAATAAAGCTGGCAAAGAGGAAAGGTTGGGCATGAGGCTAGCAACCTCATCCTGTGAAAATAAACACTGCTACAGAAACTTCAAGCCTCTAGCTTGAAGCCCTATGTTCCACGGGGAACGTGACGGAATAAAAAATAAAAATAAAAAATATTTAAAAGATATGACGCTATTGGGTTTCAGGAATTTGAAGATTCCAAAAGCAAAACAAAAGCATACATTTTCATTGGCGTAGTTGTATTCTCTGGACGATGCTTTCATTGTCTTTCTAAACAACATACTCAGCACAGATTTCAATATCAAGTTTATTTGTTGACACTGTTTTGTGTTTCCCAGTGACTGATTTATATCGTATGGAAAAGCTCAGTTTCGTTTGACACATCGGCCCCTAGTACGGATGCTTAGAGGATATCCGAAGGTTAACATGATGTCATTTGGGTTCTACTACAAGCCATCACTAACTATTCGACATATAGTCAATCTATTCTTTGCTTTAACTTGCGGTAAAATAGAGCACTTATCAGCGCACTGCTTTTGTCTTAATCAAATCTAATAGTCATAGACGTTTACAGCTTTCAAATCTGTCGTCCTACAATGAAATTATAAAATATTTTAAAGTGATTTTAAGAGAATAGCTGCGTGCAGTGATAAATACAAAATTGAGTCATGTATAGAAATGAGCTTCTGTCCTTTGTCGGCCTAAAATGCCCCTGGTAGGGAGTGGGAAATTCAAGAATCTTTGGAAAAAGTAAGTAATATGGGAAGTAAAAAATTACTTAAGTGGTTTTTCACTAGACAATTTAAGATAACCCTATGTTGTCAACTAATCTACTTTTAGGGTATCTTGGTTCAAAATTTAGGGGAGACTTGTTTGTCACAGGATAATTCTACTGAGAGTTACTAACCACCTTTTCATTGCGAGCGTTCTTGTATCTATCAGTAGAGCCATTTTTCTCTTTCAACTTACCCAACTGTAAATTCTGGTTTACCAATTGATAGTTGACCTTCATATAATGCTACTGGACATAAGCGCTTCCATGGACTTTTGTGCCAGCGAGCACGTGGACCAGGCATCTTTTTAATTGCTAGTGTTTGAAATAGTTCTTCAGTATCCATATCTTCAGGTACCACTTCCTCTTCTTCTTCATTACTTGGTCCATAAAATCTCAATGGAGCCACTGATGGATAAAAATTCATGCCTTGTAGTTTGACTAGTAAATTCTTGAAAAAAGGAACAGATTATGAAACAAAAGTAAATGTAAATTCCTATCTTTGTTTTGCTCTGTTGATAACTTTACAGGTATCAGATTCAATTTGTTGTAATGTAGATCACATTCAGTGTGAGTTACAGAGTGAATCAAAGGCAATAAACGCTGAGCAGTTATTTTGTCAATATTGAGCACTCATCAGTGGTACGAATAAAGGTTGTTAGGAAACAATTATGCAGAACTAACTTTTCATGTACCATACTGTGAGATAAACCTATTGTGTGATGTCTGTTGGTATTATTCAGTCACTCAGGCTGAAGTGGAGTGACACTCAAACTAGGGACCCACTGACCGGAAGCCATTTTTAATAATCACTCAGCCACACTGATATAATTACGAGACTGTGTAAGATGGGTTTGGACACTGTAAAGTTAAGGGAGGGCGGTAACTATTTCACATTTCAGGTATTTATTTATTATTTATTTTATTTCTTTATATTCCTAATGGAACACAGGGATTCAAGCTAGAGCTTTGAAGTTTCGGTAGCAGTAGTTTTATTTTTACGGGGTGAGGTTCCTATTCTCGAGCCCGGCACCCCCACCCTCTTTGCAGGTGTTAATACCGCATTAGCGAGGTTTAGGAGTGCGTCGACTGGAGATCGAAATCCTGACCATGTGAGTGGTTGGCGAGCGTTCTACCCTTGGACCACCAACGCCACAGCTTAGGTAACACTCTGGAATCTAATTGTCACTGATTCTCAGCTTCTGTCACTTCAAAAAGAAGGAAAACTGTGTTTCGCTGCCATTAGTGAGTAACTTTTGTGGCAGACAAAGTGGTTTAAATTTTAGAGGACATTATCGAAGTTAATCACTAATGATTGCCTAGTTGTGTTTATAAACAAAGCATAGTTTGCTTGCAGAAATGTCTTTTCGATAAATTTTCTGTAATTGTCAAAAGCGTCGTCTAATATTATTTCCATTGAAATATCACACTCTTCATGTAAGTAACTTGGAAATAAATATAGAGTTGATAAAATCCAAAGCCACGAAATGATTTTTATACACATAACATCCGAATCTAATAATATCTAATGGCAGATAGGAAGATCAAATTAGGCTCCAACACAGAAGTGTTCGATTCAAAATTCCCTATACTTTGTCAGAATATCATGTAAAACAGAGTAGTCTGAGACTAAATACTGCAACAACACACAAAAATAGGTAAGAAAAAAAGAAACAGTGGCTCTAAAAACCAACAAAACCTTCCAGATTTCAATAATGGAGAGTGAATGCATCTAAACAAGTGTGACTAGTTTTGAACTATTTCAAATGCAGTCTACAATCCTTGATTCTTAACATCTTTCGGACTTCAGGCAAGTAGCTTACGCTTTTCTACCCAGCTCAAATCACCCTTTATTAGTTTTGTAGATTGGAATAACTGTTTTGGCCAGACAACTGAATACTCCCCTCCAAACTAATTTGACGTCAAAAGATATTGATTTTTGATTGAGATCGTGGCTTATTATATACAACACATATCGTAGTCACGCTTGAAGGATATTCTACCTCTAAACTATAACTTAGTCTACACTTTCTTACAATAAAATATTGTTATTGGTAAAACTACCTAAAATAACCTTTCACTGATAAATTAATACTGATACGATGAGTGATGATTTAAAGTAAAAGTAAAGTAAAAATCTAGACCACTGCAGGACTCAGACCATCGACTCCCGGATCCAGTACTTTCGGCAAGGAATATTTTAAAATCTTTCAGTGATATCTCTCAAACTAACATTAATTATCGTCTTGTTAAAAGCTAAGTGGTAAAAGCATGAAATATTTGAAATTTGAAATACCAACCTCATATCATTAGCTTGAAACTGTAATGAGATTATGAATCGTCAAAGGGAGTTTTTTGCCATAAAGAAATTTAAACTGAAACTTTGTGGAGTACCTAAACACAAGTCTATAGACTCATATGCTTACTAAGTAAAAAATACGAATCCCATAGGTAAAAAACCAGACATATAGTTCAATGGCCTTTTGTTCATATATTGCCTTTGTCTTCATTTTTGCTTCAGTTTCAACTATGAACGTACTATGTAATTATAAATCTGGTAAACTAAGGTAAATTTTTACGATTAACAGGGAAACATTTGTTGTAAACTTACGTAAAATAGTTCAGTAGGAGTGAGGTTTCCATCTAATTCGATAATATTAAATGGATTAAATTTTGATACATAAGAAGTTATACGTGAACAAATATTTTCTTCATGATATTTTAAATCTGCTTTCATCCTCTCTGGAATATCTTCTAGTCGTGAAACTAAATATTCAAATCTTTCCTTCTCTACGATTTCAAAATCAGGATGACTCGGTTCTCGAGGCCTGTCTTCTTCTTCTTCTCCTTCTTCCATAGTTTCAACATCTTCTTCAGGTATATTGTCTGCCTCATCGTCAGCTGGATCTTCAGTCTTCGATGGTTTCTCTTTCTCCGCCTTACTTGCAAATTTTTCTTGTGGTTTATCTGGTAATTTTACTTCAGGCATATAATTTCGACTAGAGTATAAGGTTCCATCTTCGACATCCACTCGTAATCCTTCACGTCTTTTTAAAATGTCATCCTCAGGTATCTGAAATGTTTGGATGCAGTAAACGTATAACACTAATTATAAATAATTCTAGTAAAACTTCAGTCGGAAATATTTCATAGTATTAGTAGGCGTATGTTTGATAGTTGCTCAAAGAAATATAGGTGAATAAATTTGTAAACGTTAACAGTTATCCCACTTAAGGCACCCAGACAAACTGTTGTATTTCATAAAACGTGTAAAAGTAGTGTTCTGTCAATTTACCTCCAGTCTTCAAGCTGGTCGAATAGTTTTTGTGAGTACATTTTATTCTTATTCTGAATAGTTGTTTCCAAATCGCATAGGTGATCGATATACAACTTATGGACGTTAAACAGACAGTGAGTTATTTAACAAAATTTTCATTCACTTATCAAAAAACGGACTGATGCTAAAGAATAGTGAAGAAATGAAACGGTGACTATCATGAATGGAAGACGAAGGTAAATTAAGCGAAGCCTAAACCAATATTCATATATCTGGTTTTAAAACACTTTCGAACCACTAGGATGATATTTAAAGCATGTTATTTACATATTGTAACTACTGACCTTTGAGAAGCTCATAATATTTCACAAACTTACCTTTGTATCAGCTTTTCTAAAAGATGCTTAAACACAAATTCACTGGAGGATTTGAAAAGAAGATCTCATAATCATCAGTCTATTAAGCTTCTAACTGAGACTGGTTCTGCCTGACCTACCGACGTTTCGCGGTATGATAATATGTTGATAAAACTAGAAAAATTTTCATTCTCTCGATTTGGGATTTTAACTGTATATGGGAATCAGACCAAGACCAAATATCTGATACAACTTGAAGGAAGTCATTTGGATTTGAAAATCCAGTTGAAATTCACCACGCAAACCATTGGTGGTGTGTCCAGTTTGCAATGACAAAATTCTCAAAATTAAAATAAATCAACCAGTATAAGATCTCTTATGGATTAGTAGATATAACACTGGTTTCAGAAGAAATTCACCGTTGAAATAAATAATGTAGTAAAAGTAACCTTAGCATTGCAAATCCTACAATAGCAAACATTATTTTTTAGCAACGACAGTTAATAAATTTTTCAAAAGATTCTTGGGTTAATTAACATTTCATCATAAGTAATTCTATGTAACAAACATTTTGATATACTGGTATAAACAAACCTATCCAGGAGCAAAGCTACAGTCAAAACCGATATACATCTCAGAAGTTCGTAGACAAACCAGAGGTAACTGCATCAGTAATCTATAAAACACCAGCTCTCTAGCCATGTACATATACATACATATCAGTGTGCTAGAAGACGGATTTCAACTGTCAAGACTCTTGGATGCCGACATTTTACAGAAAATTACTTCAAAAGTCAGGTATCCTTATATTCTACCTAGTTTAGAAATTATGAGAGCATAAAAGCTAGTAGCAACGGATAGGATGGCCAAACCGAAATATCTTTGTTTTTATGACAAATATTAACCAAATGACATAAAAGAACGGTGTAGTGGTGCAATTTAGTAAAACAGCACTAATAAATACCATACTTTATTGTGGAAATTAAATTTTCTTAGACTTTAATTCATTGCATTTCAAACTCAGTTAAGAAGCCAGTACATTTCGGTTTTATTAGAATAAATAAAAGTTATGTTGGGAAGCATACCACACGTCATTTACTTTTGTGGTGTGATATCAGTGATTATTTATAAAGGTTGACGATAATTTTTGGTTTCGGACAGTATATGAGAAGTACTACAGGCAAGGATTCGAGGAACAAGATAGAAATAAATATATTATTATTAGATTACAGGAAGTGTGAGATTTTACTTATAAGTTAAAATATAAGACTAAACCTAAATTTAAAAGCTCTGTACTTCCGTTTTCAGTCTTACCTTAATATGAACAATTAAATCGGGCTTCATATTCATGGATTCAATAAATGACATCTGTTCCTCGATCCCAATGCTTGACTGACAGTAAATTGGTAAATCATCTAAGACATATCCATAGTGCGCACACTCTGGGGACTCAAGCTTTTGCGTCAATAAGTTATACACCATTCTTTCGTCCAAAGCTTGACCACTGATCATAATTTCATTGATAGCTTTGCCAATTTCCGTATCAGCATCAACATTTTCATTTAAAAGTTGTAGTGCTAAAATATGTAATTTTAAAAGGTGTTATACCATTCACCAGTTGCAATTTCCACTTAGAACACAGCTTTTTTGATAATGTGGTTCTTCCTGAACACGGTTTTCCCAGTACAATAATGCACAAGGGCTTTTTATGCAGTGCTTGCAACATAGCCTGCAATATATCCCAATAAAGAAATAACCACATACATTTTCATCATTGTATGGATTCTTGCTATAATAGAATTTCCTTGTAACGTCTTTCGGTGGAAAACGGTTATCAGGTAAAAAGGCGAATTGTTCGTTCATTTTTAAAATACTGGCAAGACTTTGTCATGAGAACAGCACTTCAAGGTCACTCTCGAAAAACATAAACGAAGCAGCAACCTATAGGCTAACTACTTTGCTGATTGTTATGGAAATAATGACCCTAATCGAATATTAGCCACTGTGCTAACACAACACTAGTATCTGCGCGAAAAATCTGATTAATACTGTTTGAAATGGAAGTAAATTTCTTGATGAAATTTAGCAGTATTCGTCACCCTTAAGATATTTCACAGTACTCTGAACTGATATTGATCGTTGAACTGCAACATTTTCTCGGATTTTGTTAGCCTTGTGGCTTAAATATATTGTTTTTATCTCATATTCATCATTTTAGGTCCACCAGGTAAGTGCGATATTCCTAACCACTTATTTCCTGTGGAAGAAGGTATCCATTATGATAAGTGCCACAAATGGTGCCATTATACGTTTAAGATATTGCGTCCAGTGCTATCCAAGCATTACTAAGTACTTTCATCGCGCTGAGCATGTAAGTCACGTTGCTCACCGAAGCATACGTCAATCAAGGTCTGTGTGTTGCTGTTCACCGCTATGAATCTCCCCGTGGCTGATGTGGTTTAGAATGGTGTTATCGACTGTGTTTCTGATAATGAGGTTACCAGAATCATCACTAATTAAAACCCTACTGCTTTGAGGAAAATGACTATATAAGCCGTAGGACGCACAAGGATGGAGTATCCGAACATCCTGTCAAGTTATTTTAGCTAAGTATTTTCCAGGAATGGTACTATGCCTATGGTAGGTGTTCAGGAAACTGATCTGGGAAAGAAATCTCTACGCACTAAGAAATAAACTACTGTAAACTTATTTCAAAGTTCAGAGTGGGTACTTCTAGCGGCCCTGATGATCTTCATAAATGAATATTATCAGCACTGGCTTACAGCATGGCCGAATGGTTGCTGGTGCTGCTCAAAATTTCACTGAGACTGTTTCCATTGGACTGCAACGATGCCGTAATTAGTCCAGTCTTCAAAACTGGACTTTCCTACTGATTTAAGAATTACCATTGTCTTAATCTAATTAGCGTCATCTTTCAACTGCTGGGGAGAATTATCCATGATGAATTTGTCCAAAATTTTGGGAGTGGTATGCTTTCACATGAGGAAAAGCAAAGTTTTCCTTCACCGGACTTCTTCTGGCACTGGAAAGCCGGTTAAATATAGCCAATGCCAACAGAAAACTAGATGCTGTATCCGTCATCTCCAACAAGACCCTCAACTGTCACTCTACCTAGACAACTTCGACCTAGTTTTTGATAAGTTTCAACTAGAAATGGCTCTTATAATTGTTGTGTGGCCATTTATCCATCTGGTTCTGGGCCAGACCTACAGTACTAGCTGACTTTACAGCCATACCTAACCAAAGTGGTGGCCAGGCTGAGATTAACACAGGTAAAGAGAGAATATAATATACGCAGCTGTTCTCAGCACTACAAGAAAATACCTTTGATCCATTGTTTAAGAATGACTTCGACATATTTGAAGCTTGGAAGAGAGCCCCACTACTCAATTCTGATCATTGCATCATGTGTATATTGCCTAAAATACATAGAAAGCTGCACAAAGGGCCCTTTTGAACCTTGGCAAGGAAACTCAACACAGATGTTACTCCCACAACAGTTTACAAAATCTAAGAAACACGTTAAATTATGCGAATTTGGGCTTATTTGATGAACAAACTCTAGATGGCGCAATCGCAAATGTAATATCTTATATCAGATTCTATTTTGATGCTTGTTCTCCAAATGAGATACTCTTCTTAAGATTTGACCGCTTCTCTTCTCCTCAGCTCAAAAAGCTTCACCGAGAAAAGTAAAGGCCATTCAAAATGAAGAACAGTCCTGACGTTAAGAGACTGAACATCTTAATTAAATCATAAATACAGAGGTTAAATAGGATCTATAACCCAAAGATTTTATCATGCAAAACCTCATCAAATGTATAGAAGCTATTCAGGAAAATCGCCGGTTGTAATCAAATAAATAATGATCCTTCTACATTTGATGCTCGTACTCATAGTGCGTCCCTCATATGCCCTCCAGCTGACATTGTGATCCCAAATGCTGCAAGTGCAAACGGTGACTGCTTCTCTAGTTGTCTTCAGGTGTCTAAAATCCCTGAAACCTACCTAGTCCCTTAGTCCAGATGGTGTAACATCTATTATCCTCAATAAATGTGCTGACATTTTTTGTCATCCTCTCGCGGGTATTGCCATTACTTCACTTTTTTTAAATAATGGAGATACTGCTTTCACTTAGCCTTGCGCTTTAAACGATGCTATCCGACTTGCTTTTAATCATACTAGGTGTGATTTGGATGCTACTGTCGTCTTATATCATTACATTGTCTCTAGCTTAGATAGAAGTGCCAAATATGTTCGGTGTGCATTCCTAGATTACTTTTCTGCCTTCTACTCTGTACTTGGGCCTCTTTTGTTAGACAAGCTTGACGCGTCTCAGTACCAGCTTACCAATTAGTTGCATTCCTATTTTTCTGATAGGAAGCAGTACACTTAACAAAGGGAAGTCCTCCAGTACTTCACTTACTCTAGCTGGTGTTCTTCAATTGGCTGTTCTCCCTCTTTGTCTGTTTTCCTTCTTCTTACATGACTTACCGCATCCTAGTGAAGCCAGTTTTGTTAAGTATGTCAATTATCTGACCGTTTCTATGTCTGTTACTTCTCAGTCAGACTGTTCTAAAGTGAATAACTTTTTATCAGAAATTAGTCATTGGTCCTCGTCAAATGGTCTGAAGCTCAGTCCCTCCAAATTTCAGGTGGTTGATTTCACTTTCAGACACAAGCGTCCCTTACACGAAATGGTTCTTTAGCATGGCCCCACGATCGTAGATGCTACAGAAGTTGGAACTAAATCTAATATTAAATACCTTGGACTGTCTATTTCCTCTGATCTTTCTTTATCTTCCCGCGTCATGTTTGACGTCCTATACAAGGAAGTTAAGACAATGTGGTGTCATTCCGTCTTTACTATCACCGTTCGTTAATTCATGTATTCTGCCTATACTTTCCTATTTTTCCCCTTTATTCTTTCTCGGGCTACTTAAGAAACATTTTTTTATAGTGCGTAGGGCACCAAAAGACGTCATTAGGGCAAGTGGGGTGTTGCTATATCAACTGGTTAATGCTACTGTGGATAGACACTTGGACTCCTGCAAGAGAATGGCAAATGTTATTCTGTCAGACCCTGTACATATTTCCATACACAACTCTCTACTTTCACTTCATGTGGCAGAACTAGAAAGAACTATAGGAGGCTGTATACTCTAACGAGTAAGTACAAAAACTCTGCGATGCCTTACTTGGCACACATTTTGTGTGATGAGAAGTGTGGGACAGAAAATTACCAGCTTACTGAGGAACTCTAAGTAAACAGCCTTTTTCCGTTTTCACTGTCAAACTATCGTTAGTATTTTCACTTGATTTAATTTTATCTTTATTCCCTTTTGAACAATATTATTAGTGTAAATAATCACTGACCTGGATAATCTATTTCAATTACAACCCCCATAATGAGAAAATCAGACTTATCTCAGTGCTTTATGGAGGTTCGCCAGTGCTGCTCGGGCATTTGTCACACCGAACGCCATCGTTTAAATTTCATGCAGGTTTCACTGTAAAATAAATTCTCTTTTATTCTGTCCTTTGTTTGTACCTCCACTTGCCAATATCCAGAAGCTTTATCAAGAGTACTAAGACAATTTTATCCCCTCAGGGCATCAAAAGGATAGTTTATACGTGGCAGGGAAAAACGGTCTCGTGTGGTTAGCTGGTTCACTTTACGATGGTTCAAACGTAACCGAAGAGTTCCACGCTATGTCACTTCCTGTCGAAAATGTTAAGGAGCTGTCATTCAACATAAGAACCTTTTGGCGACAATTGGTGATCCCCGACAGCTTTCCCAACAGGTTGACTCCTGTTATTACTTGCCACGTTAACTGCATAGACACTATAAATAAATAAATAAATAAATTTATTCTCATAGTACAGTACATGAGGGACGCCAGTTTACAGGCATCATCAAATTGTTACAGAAATAGAACCATATAATTTAATCACAATTTACAGCCAGTAGCAAGATATGCTTTACATGTTCGATAGAGATTATACATACACTTGATAAATGTTAATCCCAGTAGTATAAAACAGCATTTTCACTTATATACAATCATTTCTGTGCAAAGTTGGAAAAATCTGCGAGATTGTCAGTGAGTGCAACACAACAGGAAATACAGGAGTATTGTCTTCGCATTAACAAAAAACCAGGTCTTTGGTGGATGGATTATAAGTGCATGGGAAAAAAATAAAGCTTGAAGTAAATATTCATACATAACTTTGTTGTGTGCAGAGTCCTCGAATTATAGTTGATTGATGTGTTATTTTGAAATCAGTGATGTGTTTATCTCATTTGATCTGCAATGTCATTGTTGGGAGTAAGTACATAAGCTTCGGACGCATTAATTAATGGATTTCTACTGATTACGGGTATTTTCTTAGCGTTAGGAAGGTTTATGAGTTTCAGCTGTTCCGACAGGAGTTGAGAATATTAACTGCTCAGCAACATTATGGATATAAGTTCATCACATTATCTAAGGAAAGGTGGGTTGCAGTTGGTGAGGGATATATGGTACCCAACGAGCGTTCATCTGTCCTTGTGATGTTGTGGTGAGTTATACCTTTTTCATGTTGTCGGTTTATGTCCATTTTATTCCACTTATTGTGTTGGGTAGTAGTTTTACAAACGAGATTTGTTGTCTGTTTGAGGATACGTATGTTAACCGTTAATGTTTTATCTAGAATTATAAATATAGGCAAAAAACAACAGGTGTAGTATTTAAGCTTATACATTAAATGGACCTATAATTTCGGAGGCTCTCAGATAGGAACTAGAACTAATATCGTTTGCAAACTCTTGTAGTTTGTCATTAAGCACCTTTTTGAAGGAG